TCCTAGCCACAAATATAACTCCTTCTCCCGATTTTGTTATCTCAAATTGAGGGAACGAGAGGCCATGAAACCTATTTTTTTCATCTCATTGCACTTCCCCTGCACCATACATTTCTGAAAGAGTACTAGATTTTTTCCAGGTCCGGTAGGGGTTGAAATGTCTTCCTAGGGCACTTTCCACCCCAGTTTGAGCAGCCCTAAGATACATTTGTAGGGGGTAGCATACTGGTCTCTGGACATCTGAGACAAGTTGTCCACAAAAGGATCGCAACTATGCAGGGGGTTGATGTACGAAGGGGAAACATGTTCGCTCCCATATGGGGCAGACGACACTTCTGCTTGTGCTGTATGGGTTATACTTCTTCAGCTCTTCTGGGAAGTCAGGGAGGGCTTCATAGGTGAACAATATATGAAATTAACACTATCCATACTATCAATAGACTGTGGGCAGCCAACCACAGAGATAGCCCCAGGCTCAAAGTGCAGGTAGTTTGTAGGCTGCATACCAGAGCATTTTCAGGCTGCTCAGGGGACTGGGGCTGCTGTAGGTATGAGTCTTTATATTGGCAAAGTTCCTTGTTTGATAGTCCCTGTGACATGCCTTCTGATTGGTTGATTCGTTATTCTTTAACAGGATTACCCCTGTATGAACCAATCGTAAGTTGTTTGACTGACCCTGGATTTACGCATATATGCGTCACTGGGGTTTCCCACAGTGGCGGTAGAAGCGCATTTATGCAGCAGTGGTATTCTACCTTATCAGCTAGCAGCGCATATATGTGGCAGTGGGATTTTGCCACATGGCAAATTCAACGCATATATGTGTCTGTGGCATGGATGGTGTTAAAGTTCAAAGTGTGCTCTTTTTGGGCAAATCTGCTCAAGGTTTGACCAGAGTTCTCCTTTACTTGTGATATCAGGAAGTATCCCATCATCCTGCAGGTTTCTTGTGATAGTGACTCATTGAAAAAACACTTCTTTGCTAGAAATTTCTGGTGAAATTGTTTAACTTTTGCTGTCGCATCTAGTTAGTATCCCTGTGACAGTGCGGATATTCTTGGCGTGTCTGCTTCCTCGTTTTCTGGCCACAGTGGTGAAAGTATGTGTTTCATGTGGCACTTCCTGTTCCTCCCCACCTCTGTCCCCAGAATGTCCACATTCACCTGTTGGACATGTCCCTCCCGAGGCAGGTGTGGGAGTTCGCTCAAAGCTTCCAGAAGAATCACGGCCTCCATGTACTGGTACGCTGCCCCAAAACCACATCCTGAGCTGTTCTGTAATATCACTCCGTCACACCCTGTGCTGTCATGAGCTGTCATAGAGTTCAGGTGGTGGGTTCAGGCGTTGCACACGACATTTCATGAGCTATAATCTGGCTTATTAGATCGGATGCTCACGAGGTTAAAATGGACTCCTTTTGGCCGTCTTGGTTTGCACACACTTAGTCTGCATGCAGTTGTACCTGGCGAGATCAGTTGAGCACAGAAGAGTAAACATGTAAACACTTGAGTAATTGACCTAGATCTTCCATGGACTCACATTTGTGTGCTCTTATCCATAACAGAATTAGCCACTGAATTCCATGCTCTCATTCTCAGTTGTTTGACATTTGTTTAATCCTCCCAGGTCAACAACGCAGGCTGTATGGTGAACCAGCGGGAGCTGACTGACGATGGCCTGGAGAAGAACTTCGCCACAAACACATTAGGTGGGACCACAGAGCGTTGTCACTCAATGCACATACACATTGCATGTGTGCATTCTGTACAGCCTTTCCCAAACCCGAACTGTAACCAAATCATGCTTAACCCTACACTTAGCCTAATTGTAACTGTAACCATAACCCTAACTTCAACCGTTTAGCTGTAATCCTCCAAAATTCATTGTGAGGACCAACCAAAATGTCCTCACAACCCCAAATGTCCTCATAACATTGTGGTTTCTCAATAGTCGGTCCTCAGATGTAAAGCTGTACAAGCCCACACACACTCACACACAAATGCAAACGTACACACAGGCTCACGTGTAAACTTGCACATCTACTCAAGATCCCATACACATTCAGACTCTCTTGCACAGCTTCCAATCATCTCACTGATTGGTAGAATTAGTCACCTGCTCAGCTGGCCAATAGGAATCACAGTTTTTCCCTCCCTTTTCCAGGCACATATATCCTGACCACGGCACTGATTCCAGCACTGAAGAGGTCCAGTGATCCCAGAGTGGTGAGGGTTTATGGGGTTTTGGTTTCTGAAGCTTGCATGGAATGTGTTCCCTCTTCTGTAGCAGCGCCATAATTTAGCAAAATGGCAGTCAGCATTATTTGTTCATGACATGGCTTTGACTGCCGTCCAGCAACAGTGTCTCACAGACCCAGCTACAGTCAGATCTGAGCACCTGTCGAGCACATTTCCCACAGGAGATGTTTGCCCCTTTCCCATTCAAATCAACTGTAAGGTGTTTTTTTAGCTTACCGGCCCTATGGGCGATATAAGCCATTAAATGGTGTGGCGTCCGTCATCCGGAACATTTTTTTATCTTTTTTTTTTGCCTGATGAATTTTCGTGTAAATTTGCAATTAACATACTACTAGACCATATCTCCAGTCGTTTTTCTCGGATTTTTGATTGAATCATTTTTGTCCTTTTAATGGGCCCTTGAAATTTTGGCTCTAATGTTAAAGATAGGACTGAGAAATTTAAAAAAATTATTTCTCAAAAACTGCTTGATAAATTTTTTTCTAAATCAGGCAATCAACTTACCTTGGTACCATCAATGTACAGTCTGGCCATTGAGATTGAATCGACAGATGTGGGTCTATTACTGTTTTATGAATATGCAAGATGGCCTGTGGAGGCCAAATGGTTGCAGATAGAGATTAAGTTTGTATTATCGACATATAGGAAGTCATATATGACCTATACATTGGCTATGTTAAAGTTGACCTCAGATGACTTTGAAAGGTCAAACTCGAGGTCAGGGAATATATTAACAATGTTAAAAGATATGACCTGAAATTTCAAAAAATTATTTCTCAAAAACTGTGATAGCTTTTTTCTAAATCTGGCAATCAACTCACCTTGATACACTTTATTTACAGTGCGAGTGCCATTTTGATTGAATCGACAGAAGTCGGTCTAGTGGGGGCGCTGTACTTTAACATTGGGTCTTATGGAGAATGGACCAAATCGCCTGTGGAAGCTAAATGGCTGCAGATAGAGATTAAGTTTGTATTACTGACATATAGGAAGTAATATATGACCTATATTTCGGCTGTGTTAAAGTTGACCTCAGATGACCTTGAAAGGTCAAACTTTAGGTCAAGAAAAATGTTACAATTTTCAAAGGTTTCTAGGCTTGAAAATATTGAAGATTGGGAACATAATGTGCATTGAACACTTATAGGAAGTCATGTATGAACTTTCATTTGGTGGCCTTGAACTTGACCTTCGGCAACATTCGAAGGTCAAACTTCCCATAGTGAAAGTTCACAAAGACTTCTATCACCAAAACAATTACAGATAGAGCTTAGGTTTGTATTGGGGGCATATAGGAAGTCATGTATGAAGTTTCATTTGGTGACATTGAACTTGACCTTCAGTGACCTTGAATGCCCAAACTTCACAGTGAAATTTCAATGACTTACATCAGCAAAATGGTTGCAGATAGTTTCGGTTTGAATTGGAGATGCATAGGAAGTCATACAAGAACTTTCATTTGGTGGCCTTGAACTTGACCTTCGGTGACCTTCGAAGGTCAAACTTCACATAGTGAAATTTCAATGACTTCTATCACCAAAACTATTACAGATGGAGCTTAGGTTTGTATTGTGGCCATATAGGAAGTCATGTATGAAGTTTCATTGGGTGACCTTTTACTTGACCTTCAGTGACCTTGAACAGCCAAACTATACAGTGAAATTTCAATGACTTTTATCAGCAAAATCGTTACAGATTGAGTGTAGGTTTGTGTTGGAGAAGTATAGGAAGTCATGTATGAACTTTCATTTGGTGACTTCATATTGACCTTCAAAGGTCTAACTTGACCTAGAGAAAATTCAATGACTTCTATCACTGAAAAAGGTCACAGATGGAGCCTAGGTTTGTGTTACTGACATAGGAAGTCACATATGAACTTTTATTTGGTGACATTCAGCTTGACTGTTGATGACATTTGAAGGTCGAACTTGACATAATACAATTACAATGACTTGTTTGTCGATGGAGTCTAGGTTTGTATTATGGACATATAGGAAGTCATATATGAACTTTCATTTGGTGACCTTCGTTTGGTCAAATGTGACCTAGTGAAAATTCAATGACTTGTATCACTAAAACGGTCACAGATGGAGCCTAAGTTTGTGTTACTGACATCTAGGAAGTCACATATGAATTTTCATTTGGTGACATTCAACTTGACTTTCAGTGACCGTTGATGGTCCACAGCGAAATTACAATGACTTGTATCACCAAAATGGTCACAGATTGAGCCAAGGTTTGTATAGAGACATTCAGAAAGTCATAAGTCCATTTGCTGACCACAACTTGAAATTCTGTGACCTTTAAAGTTCACAATTGACATATTGAATACATATTCAATATAATGTAATATAATTTTACATATTGTAAAATATTGACATATTTTAATGACTCGTATCACCAAACTGCTTCAGAGCTTAGGACTGTATTACAGAAGTTCTTATAAATGTATGTGAACTTTTATTTAGTGACCTTGACATTTATTTTCATTGATTCAAATGTCAAACTTCACATGAAATTTTCATAACTTGTATCATCGCTGTGAAACTGCTTGCCGGTGAGCTACAGGACCCTTGGTCCTATTTTTGATAGTGTCAGCTAGAAAACGGCAATGTTCTGTAATGACTGAACTAATGCGTTCATCAGCGTCTGTGTGACGTTATGGCTGGTGGTAGTGAGGAGGTGCAATAGCCATGTGGGCGATTGAGAGAAGTGGTTTACTGTTAGAGGGGTTATGTGTGAGGCACGGTGGTGCTGTGGTTAGCGCTTTTGCCTCACACAAAGCAGGTCATGGGTTCGAGTCCCAGCCGGCCAGTTCCTCTCGGCACTCAATTCACATGGTGCTCCCATGTTCATGTGGGTTTTCTCTGGTTGTTCCGTTTTCTTCGACTCAGAAAACATGCTTCGAACTTTAGGAATGCTTACTCCATCGCCCCTGACCACGGCTCTGACCTCAGAACTTCAGTTGGACCATGAGCACTGCGTTGAAGCTGCACGTTATAATAACTTCATTTGTATTGCATTGATCTTAAGTGTAGGATGGGTCAAATTCAGAGGCTAAGTTACCACACGGGCTTCAGTTAAGTGCCTTTCTTCTTCTTCTTCTTCTTCGTATGCTCAGGTGACTGTGTCCTCAGGTGGCATGCTGGTCCAGAAGTTGAATGTGGAGGACTTGCAGTTTGAAAAGGGCACATTTGACGGCACAATGGCTTACGCCCAGAACAAGGTGAGCATTCTAGTGAACCTTTGTTGATTTGTGTTGTTCTGTGTCGATGTTTGTTGTGTTGTTGTTTACTGTGTGGTAACCTTGTGTTGTATTTTTTACTGTATGGTAGCCTGATGTGTGTTGTACTGAGTAGTTTACAGTGGGCTATGCTGACATAATTGTGGTGTTGCGTACAGTTTTTTTTTTTTTAGTTTGATGTGTGTTGTGTTGTATGGTGTGTAGTTGTTGTGCTGTGTACTTTTTGGGTAGTCGGAAGAGTTGTTGTTGTATTGGGTAGTGTACAGTATTCTGATTTGTGTGTTGTATCTGATACTGTATGGTGGCTGATTTGTGTTGTTGTATGGGGTAGCATACAGCATTCTGATGTGTTTGTGTTGTATGGTGTATAGTTGTTGTGCTGTGTACTTTATGGTGGTCAGATGTGTCGGTGTTGTATCAGGTAGCATACAGTATTCTGATGTGTGTTGTGTTGTACAGTGTGTAGTTGCTGTGCTGTGTACTGTGTTGTAGTTCTTGTAGTGGGTAGTGTACAGTAGTCTGATGTGTGTTGTGTTGTATATTGTACTGTACAGTAGTATGATGTGTACTGTTGTACTGCATAGCGTACAGTATTGTGATGTGTTGTTGTGTTGTTGTGACAGAGGCAGCAGGTGATCCTCACGGAGCGATGGGCAGCTCAGCATAAAGAGATCCACTTCTCCTCTATGCATCCCGGCTGGGCTGATACACCAGGTACCATCTCCGTACTCCAACTCAAAAGAACTTCTCCCTGACTCCGCCCTGTCACACTCTGACCCCGCCCTGATGCACTTTGATCCCACCCCAACAGGCACTGGCCCCACCCTGACTTGTTCTGACCTGCCCTGTGCCCTATCCATTTGCATTTATTTATTGGATGTCATGCTACATGGCAAGCATGGTCTATATTTTGTGACTTTGGGCTAGGTTTTTAAGTTCCACTGAAGGAAGATATTGACATTATACCATACAATGATATTCCAGGTGATTCCATGCTACATACTGTTTGGTGAAGACTGTTTCCTGTTTCAAAATGACCAGAATAAGGTCAGAATGAGGTCTATACGAAGTTTGTTGATGCTGTTGGAGAAGAACTCAATTGCCCTGTAGCCCATTGAGCGTCATTGGGATCAAATGTAAAGCCAGCACTTGAGAGATGGTGTAATCGCCCAACATCACTCCCCAATCTCAATGATGCTTTCCTGGCTGGAATGGGTGCAGAGACCCAGAGCAATGTTCTATCATCTAGTGGATAGCTTCTCATCACCCCCCAAAAAAAAAATGATGATTAAGCCTGTTGTTTTGAAGTGAAGAGTTGGATAAGAAATTCGCCACATGGTTTTGCAGTGTATACTTGAGTACTTTTCCCTGTGTGTATGTGTGTACTTGCAGCGGTGAGGTCCTCCATGCCAGACTTCTACGAGAAGATGAAGAATCGGTTGCGGACGGAGACTCAGGGAGCCGACACGGTCCTGTGGCTGGCGGTGTCCGCCGCTGCGCCTGAAAAATCCCAGCGGCCTTTTCTTCCAGGGTGAGGCGCTGTGCTCTGCTAGGGGCGTATCTGAGGGGCGACTGCGAGAAGCTGGATGTCAGGCCTGGTGGCCTTATGCAGTATAAGGTCCAACTGCACGCCCATCTTTTTGATGAACGATTCATTTTGGCATCACTGCTGTGTTAATGAAAGGGGTTGAAATTCCCACTACAAAGTCCATTGACCTGTGTAATTTACTATTCAGCATAATACTCCATGTAATTTCTGGTACTGAGGGTAGTTGGTAGTAATTGGGAGTTACAGTATTTAGCTGTTGGGTCATTGTTAGGGGTCAAAGGTTGTTATTAGAAGGGGACGGTTGAAAAGATGGGCGTCCTGGTTAGACTTGCGACCAAAAGATAATGGACTAGTTGAAGGTATCCACACATTCACAGCCACTGAACTAGTTGAATTGAGTCATGACTGGCATGAACCCAGATACAGCCGGCTGACCTCTTTCTTTCTGCTTTCCCCACAATGCAACAGACCGGAAGGCCGTGTCAACCCACCTGCCCCTGGCCGCCACCCGAGCCACAGCAGCCAATGAGGAGAGGCTACAGGCGGAGCTGGACCAGTTGGCAGAGAAATTCAAACCAAAGCCTCTTTAGCCAGCCATCAACTGTCTGAACAATGAATCAGAACACTGTTGATAACAACTTCAACCAAATTTTTTGTAGCTGGAAGTTGAGATGGCGATTTCATACCTTTTTTTAGGTAATGTTTGATATTTATAAATCCAACTTAATGGCATTGTACACTACATTGTGACTGGTAAGATCCATTCAAACACTGAAATACTGCTATTAGCTGTCAGATTTCCACACATGGGGCCTAGTGCTGTAAGGAAATTTCCAAGACATCACTGGTTTTCCCTTTTATAAAAACATGCCCGTTCTCGGCAGTTTCTTTAATGACAGCCTAGTGTTAGAATTGAACTTGGTCATAGTAACGGTTTTATTGCACTCCATAATGCCCTGAAGTTGACTGAATTGTTATCTGTTCATGCTTGTACCGCGTGTATCTCAAATTTTGTTTTGAGTTCAGTGTGTTGATATTATACCTGTATAGCATGTAATTAAGAAAAATAACAGCTTGCTAAACATATGAGACTGCAGCTTGTTGTTGGAACCCTGATTAACCCTAAGAGTGCTGTAGGCAACTATAGTTGCCCAATGATGTAAGATATTAAAATCAGAGGCTGTTGAAAACCTATCATGTGGCAACTTGTTTAAAAGAGCTCTTGTGGAGGAGTCATTTTAAACAAGTTGCCACGTGGTAGGTTTTCAACAGCTCAGGATAATTACATTTTTAATTCCTTAAATGTATTCAGCACTCTGAGGGTTAATACAGCCAGTTTACACTCCAAACTGGTCACGATGGAGTCATTAATGGTAGTGTGAATGACTACTCCTATCTAAATGAATTTGTTGTGTGTGTGTGTGTGTCTGTGTGCGTGTGTTTCTGGGTGTGTGCGAGCATGGAAGACTCAAAAATGTCTGTTATTTTCTACTCTTGTAAAATGACCCATGCTTATTTTGACTGGTCGAATGTAATGGTACACTCTGAAGAATTTGCTCTTAGCTATGCTAAAACCTCATTTTCTTTTTTTTTTTTTTTTTTTGTCCCCCGCCGCTATGGAGCGGGGGATACAGTATTCAGTGCCGTCCGTCTGTTCATACGTACGTACATCATGTTAACACGGTATCTCAAGAACCAGTGAACCGATTTTGCTCATATTTCCCACCAACATGTACTTGGTGGGGGGTTCCCTCGACACCAGTCGATTTTGGTGACCTTGAGGTCATTTCCAAGGTTACAGGGCAATTACATAGATTTTACGCAATATCTCAAGAATCAGTTGACCAATTTTGCTCATTTTTAGCTCCAACATGTGCATGAGGCAGGGGACTCTGTCATGTTAGTGACATTTACATGTTTTTTGTATCCTCTCTGATTCCAGCATGGTCACAGCTTGGTTTCTTACTAGCATTTTCCATGCCAACTTTTGTGGAAAAGAGGTTTAATTATTTATACATCTGTGGTGCAGAAGTGAACAAAAGTGAGAAAGTGGAAGTGAAATAAATGAAATAAATGATTTAAACGGTTTTGTTTGCTTCTGGCCTGACTTCAGCTGGAAACAAGAAATTGTCAAAAACTGAAATGAGTTTTCATTTCACTTAACGAAATCCACTGCTTGTGTAATCTGCAGCGGCGTCAGAGCGAACAGTGTCAGAGGAGAACATGAAGGTCCAACAGACTGTTTACAGTCGCTTCCTCCATCAAGGTGTTGGAAAAAGGTTCTGTTATTGCCCCATTTTGTCTGTCTTTCTGTAAGCAGGATTATGGAAAAGGTCTGGACCGGTTTTGATTTAACTTGATGGGAAGGTCACATAATACAACAGTAAGAGGTGATTTATTTTTCACAGGTCAAGGTCAAATTCAACATCGGAGAAAAGGTCAGAAGCGATGATGCAGGTGGAGGTATGCACTCTACTCAGTGCCCCTCTAAATACTGGACTCAAAGCATGTACATGTAACACATATGATGGTGAAGACATGATATTAACAGAACATATGCACATTTGCCGTAAGAGGCAAGTGCAGCATGTTCGAGTAAATTATTTTTTTTTCATGCAATAACATGCGAGCATCTGCATGTGTTTCTGTTTGAAAACATTTCTATGTAAGTTTTATTTTATTCTGTCACAGATTTAAAACAATAAAATGTAGGAAAATTCAGTGAAATTATTTGTTTTAGCTTCAGCTACAAATATACGTCCCTCAATGAGCTAGAAATAGAAACCAATTTTTTTTTAAGAATATACAAAACTGAATTTATCTATGCTAGGTCATTACAAGCTTACGCCAAAGTTATGTCAACATGTCCAGACTGCACCCAGAGCAATTAAACTCAATGACTGAACCAAGATTTATATTCATGAATCATGACCAGCTCATCCAGAAATGGAGCAGGAGGTTCTCCACCTTATCCACAAAGGGCCAGTGAGAGAGTCGACTTTCATTCCAACCTATCAGTTA